GCAATACGTAGGAGTGCAAAGCCCTACAATTCAGCACAATGCAAATGAGGGCATCATAGGGCAAAATGACACACTGCAAGAGTTCAGCTCAAACTAACACAAGGCAGTGCAAAAATGATACAACACGAAACAATGCATCAGAGTGCAAAGTGACACTATGCAAAACAGCGAGTCAGGACCAAGTATCCCTAGGCCAGACCTGACAGATGTTTGCATAACCCCTTAAAATCCTCCAATGAAGGAGATTCTGCAACTTCCCATTGAGGCCTCTGCCATGCAATCGACAAAACATGGCTTGTGGTTAAGGGCCAGGCAATGACTCATAAAATATGGATTCAGTTCCCAGTTTGGCCCCATTATTCTCTGTGCAAACATGGAGAAATTACATCACACCTTTGGGCCTCAGTTTCGCCATCTATAAAATGGGAGCCACCCTCCCACACTTCATCTATTTTGTCTGTGAGCTGTTGGCAGCAAGGACTCTCTCTCTCACTATGAGTTGTACAACACCTGGCAGAATCAGGCCTCCCACCCTCAATCGGGGTCTCTGCAGTGCCCGGCACAATAATCTGGGAGCCCAATGATGATACAAAAAAACTCCCCCTTCATTTATTTGTTTTTAGAAGGCCATTTATAGCCTTTGAGTTCAGGCAGGAAACATGACCCAAGAGTCTGAGGAAAAAGAAAGAAAGAAATAACATTACCCCCAAAGGTAGCATTTTGAAACATTTAAACATCTCATAATTTTTAAGCTGCCCTCTGGATTTTTGAGTCCAGACTCCTAGTTATTGAGTGTTAGGAGCTGCATAAATCAAGTGTATTGTAGTTAATAACCACCTGCCCAGTTCCTGCTATGGGAGATGTTTCTCACCTGACCTCCCTTCAGGGTCAGGTGAGGGATTTGCAGTGTGGTAGGGGGCTCTGGGATGAGCCTGGGGTAGTGGGTTGGGGTGCAGGAGGGGTTGAGGACTGAAAGTTCTGGGAGCGAGTTTGGGAGCAGGACTGGGCTCCAGGCTGGGGCAGAGTGTTGGGGTGCAGGAGGGTATGCAGGATGTGGGCTCTGGGAGGGGGGTCAGGGCTGGGGCTTGGGGTGCTGGCTCCAGGAAGGGGCTCAGGGCTGGGGCAAGGGGTGCGGCCTCCCACCAAGCAGCACTTACCTCTGGTGGCTCCCGGTTGGCGGTAGAGCGTGGCTGATGCTAAGACAGGCGCCCTACTTAACCTGGCCCCACACTCCTCTCAGAAGGGGCCAACGTGCCCTTGTAGCCCCTGGGCAGGAGATGGGGGCATGTGGCTCCATTTCATCCCTCATGCAACCTCCAATATGCAAGATCATAGAATCATAGGACTGTAAGGGACCTTGAGAGGTCATCTAGTCCAGCCCCCTGCACTCATAAGTATAATCTAGACCATCCTTGATAGCAACAGGGGGTCCTGTGGCACCTTTGAGACTAACAGAAGTATAGGGAGCATAAGCTTTCGTGGGTAAGAACCTCACTTCTTCAGATGCAAGAACTTGCAGACTTGCATCTGAAGAAGTG